AACATTTCCACGACAAAATTTAGGTAATTTGGTTTCTGGAAAGAAGCGATTGCTTACCAATTCATGCACCGTCTTAGTTTCCAAATTAGTTTTCCTCGCCATTTCTTTGTTACCTAATTGCATATTTTTACTATTATTGTATATTTCCTATTTTCTTTGGTCCGAGGGTCAGAGGAAAGCTGTAATGTTGGGGGGGGGGGACTTCAGCTTCTGTCCATTCAAGGTTTCAATACATGTTCTTTCAAATTTGGGGGTCCCAGTGTCTGAAAAAAAGCCAAGAGAGCCAATTGAGAGGCTGATGAGAATATACAGTATATTAGAAAGAAGCCAGCATTAGTTGGATTCTACATTTTCTACCTTGGGATTCCACAAATTTGCATCTTCTAGCTTGCGACATTTTCTTGAACTAGTTGCTAATTTACCCAGCCCAGAACTGCATAGAATAATTCTCTAATATATTTGGGAGCAAATATATTACAGTAGAACGAGGCATAACATCTTGCTTTCTTCTTGGCAAAGAACTCCTTAAGCTTGAGATAATCTTTGCTATCAGAACCTTTCATGCCGATAAAGAAAATTGCTTTGTGAACCTGTAAACCAGCGGTTCTCAACCTGTGGGTCGGGACCCCATTTGGGGTCGATCGACCATTTCATGGGGGTCGCCAAGCAAGGCTGTCCGCCATTTTTTTTGTCTGCCATTTTTTTTGTCCGCCATTTTTTCCCCTTTTCCAGCGGATGCCTTACCTCCCTTGGGATGGGCCAGCTGGTGGTCGGCCTGCTCTGTCTCTGCCGCTTGCCAGCTACGCCTCGGCCGGCGCAGGGGGCGGAACCACGCATGCGCGGCGCTCCCGGGAAGGGAAAGTCCTCGACTTACAACCGGTTGGGTAGTCCTCGACTTACAACCGGTTTAGTCCTCGACTTATGACCAGTTTAGTCCTCGACTTACGACCGGTTGGGGTCGCGGCATTAAGAACCACTGCTGTAAACACTTTACCATGCTAGCTGTTTTCTAACAAGAGTTTCTTTTCAATGTCTATGCTATGTAGTATTAGTATTTCTCAACCTGGGCCACTTTAAGATGGGTGGACTTCAATTCCCAGAATTCCCTAGTTTCGGCTAGATGGAGAATTCTGGGAGGTGACGTCCATAGGCATCTTAAAGTGGCCCAGGTTGAGAAACACCGCTCTGTAGTATAATGCTCCCATTTATTTATAAGTCCGTTTCTCTTTTGACTTTTTTTTTTTTTTTTAGGGTGAATTTGTGAATGAATACGTTGGTGAATTAATTGACGAGGAAGAATGCCGATTGCGAATTAAGCGCGCCCATGAGAACAACGTGACCAATTTTTATATGTTAACTGTTACAAAGGTAAAAGGATATCCTCCGCGCGTGCATGCGTGCGTGTGCGTCCGTGCATGCTTGTATGTCATCCCAGCATCAAAGGTGTTACGGTTTTGACACCTGTCAAAATGACAGTCTGCATGTAAAAATCCACCAGGAAAACTCGAGATTACTTGCCAGCCAGACAAAACAAGAGTTTTTAACTCTCCCAAGTTCAGCAGATGATTTTGGCTTGCCAATTTTTGCGATTGAGGCTGCTCCTGTAGCAATGCTACGTTTGCAGCGGAAGCATCAGCGTCGACATCCCGTTGCAATAGTTTAAACCAGGAGTCCCCAACCGTGGCAACTTTAAGACTTGTGGACTTCAATTCCCAGAATTCCCCAGCCAGCCATGCTGGCTGGGGAATTCTGGGAATTGAAGTCCACAGGTCTTAAAGTTGCCACGGTTGGGGATCCCTGGTTTAAACCATTCATTCTTTAATCGGTGTCGTGTTCATTTCTGCATCCTTTGTCTTATTCAAGGACCGCATAATAGATGCTGGACCAAAGGGAAACTACTCTCGCTTCATGAACCACAGCTGCAACCCCAACTGTGAAACCCAGAAGTGGACAGTCAACGGAGACGTCCGGGTGGGACTCTTTGCTCTGGGTGACATTCCTACAGGTAAATGCTCTTCTGAATGTTCCCGTTGCCTTTGAAAGTGAGTGGAGATATTTTGACCTCTTCGTTGTCTTCTTCTTCTAACAGTCCTTTGTTTTGTCCATGGAGATTCTCAGTCATCCAGGTCATGGTTGTCCCAAAAGTGCTTTTTCAAAAGGCAATTGGATTTTATTTTATTTTATTTTCTCTTTTCTTTCTTTTTTTCTTTCTTTTTTTTTTTTGAAGACCTTCCGCTTCAGAGCTGAAGAAGCTTCTTGGATGAGAAGCAAAACATCTTCAAGGGGGCGGAAAAAAAAGTCCAGTTGCCTTTTGAAAAAGCACTTTTGGAACTGTCCTTTATTTTGTATAACTCCCATAATACTACCCTCAATCTCTGGATTGTGTCCTACCTCCTTCTCCTCTTGCCCAAGAATGCAAGCAGCATGTGACCTAAATGTCGTTTCTAGGCTTGGTGCTCCTGGATCTCTTCCAGTTCTTTTTCCTCAATTTGACCTGGATAGGGATATTCTCTTAAAGTCTTTTGCTTTCAGGTTTTACGCTGCCTCTTCGTTCTTTCTGTTGTTGTTGTGGTGGTGGTGGTTCATTCACAGCCTCTTGATAAACATTTTGTAAAAACATCTCTGTGTGTAGTTTAAGCCTTTGTCCTTTTGTCCATACTGACTCTGCTCCTGGGACTGGATGGAAAAATGAACTCTTTCTCAGGGCAAATAAAGCAAATGAGAGAAGCTTGTATTTGATGAAAGAGAAAGCAAAAAAAAAAAAACATAGTATGCTGTAATTGGGTGAGAAGGGACCTTGGAGGTCTTCTAGTCCAACCCTGCACTCAAAGACTCAATTCAGTGACCTCAAATGGAAAACTCTTGAGGCGATAAGAAGATTCAGTTAGCAATGGTCCTTATGTATGGAGAGATCTTGATCTCTAACAGCTTTGGTCAGATCCAAGAGAGCCCAAATTTTCTTCCTCTGGAATAAGCATGCTTGTTTATGCAAGCAAAGCCAAATTGAAATGAATAGTCAAATTGAAAGATGATAACTTGCCAGCTTTTTATTGCTCAAAACATTTTCCAGTTTAGAAATGCTGATGGATTTTAACTATGACCTCCCCCAATAGGGTTACATCTGGATATTATGGCTTGTCGCACAGCCAGCCAGATGTTTAGATTGGATTTGGGATGGGAAAACCAGAGAAAGAGATGCTAAAAAGGAGAAATAAAGGAGAGATTCCTTATTAATTCTGCTAGCCACTGGGTCATTTCGATAAGAACGAGATTTTTCGCTGGCAATGAAGATGGCCATCACATTTTTAATACTTTTTAATACTTTAATGAAGCTGGTATATCGCTCTTTTCTGAAGCAAAAAACGAAAAGTATCTCTAACATACTTTGCTAAGTATTAAACTAATTCTCTTGAATCTACAGGGATGGAGTTAACATTTAACTATAATTTGGATTGTCTGGGCAATGGCAGAACCGAGTGCCACTGTGGAGCAGAAAACTGCAGTGGATTCCTGGGAGTGAGGCCAAAGGTTAGTCACACAAATGGGGAAAGCCCTCCAGGGCAAAAACCACAGATAGATGGAATATCAAACACAGGGGCATGTTCTCTCTCCGCTTGTGCTCACCAGTCCAAACCAGGACTTTCCTCCTGGTCTCTTTCATCACAGATAGTCCTCAAACGTATGACAGTTTGTTTAGTGACCATTCGAAGTTACAGCAGCAGTGACCTGGGATCATTTTTCAGGCTTTCGACCATTGCAGCGTCCTCAGGGTCACGGGATCAAAATTACTGGCTCGTATTTATGCCGGTCGCAGTGTGTCCCTGAGTCACGTCATCACCTTTCGCGTCCCTCTGACGAGCAAAGTCAATGGGGAAGCCAGATTGACTTGACAACCGTGGCAGGAAAACGTTGCAAAAGGAGGCAACGCTCACTTAACCCCCTTTCTCGCTTAGCGACAGAAATCTGGGGCTGAATTGAGGTCGTGAGTCGAGGACTCTCTGTACAGAATCCCCATCTTCATTTAGGGCTTGACGGCGACTGTTGGGTGTTCATCTGAACTCAGCATTTTCTTGGCTGGAAGCTTTCGCTTTCAGACACCAGGGCTCAAGTAGGCTTAGAGCAGTGGTTCTCAACCTTTTAGTCGAGGACTAAACCGGTTGTAAGTCGAGGACTACCCAACTGGTTGTAAGTCGAGGACTTTCCCTGCCCGGGAGCGCCGCGCATGCGTGGTTCCGCCCCCTGCGCCGGCCGAGGCGTAGCTGGCAAGCGGCAGAGACGGAGCAGGCCGACCACCAGCTGGCCCAGTTCAAGGGAGGTAAGGCACCCGCCGGAAAAGGGGGAAAAAGATGGCGGACAGCCTTGCTTGGCGACCCCCGTGAAATGGTCGATCGACCCCAAATGGGGTCGCGACCCATAGGTTGAGAACCGCTGGCTTAGAGGGTAAAGGGAATGGCCTCGAAACTGGAGGAAGAGCTGCTAGCAAGGCAGTGTCCAGTTAAGAGGGGCCTGAGTCCATTCCAAGAAACAAATTGGAGAGAACATTCAGACAGCCTACTTTAAATGGAGATAATAATGGGAAAGAAAAAGGAAGCACCTTCAGATTTGTAAGACTGTTTTACTACAGATCAGGGGCAGGGAACTACAGCCCCTGTATGATCTGTGGACTTCTACTCCCAGAATTCCTGAGCCAGCATAGAATTCTGGGAGCAGAAGTCCACGGATCATAAAGGGGCCGTAGTTCCCCACCCCTGTATAGATGACACAATTAAAGTAGTCCTGTCCTACATGGCATTGGTTTCTTAGCCTGGTCTACCTTGTAGGGCTGACTTAAGAGAGTTGCGACTCTTTTTTTTTTTCTTTTTTTTAAAATTGTCCTTTATTAACATTCTTCTTGGCTTTTCCCTCTGCCTGTTCAGACGGCGTGCGCAACGGCAAATGAAGAGAAGGCAAAGAACGCAAAGCTGAAGCAGAAGAAACGGAAGATAAAAATGGAGCAGAAGCAGATGCACGAAGATAATTGCTTTCAGTGTGGAGATGGGGGTGAACTCGTCATGTGTGACAAAAAAGACTGTCCCAAAGCTTATCACCTCCTCTGCCTTAATTTGACACAGCCACCCTTTGGTAGGTGCCTGCAATTTTGTGACAGCTGTAAATAGGCCTTTTTTTTTTCCTTTTGGACATAAAAATATATATGCAAAAAATCACCTGGCTGTTTAAACGAGGAGCCGTGGTAGCGCAGTAGCTAATATTGCAGGCTAACTCACTGTCCACTGCCAGCAGTTCGATTCTCACCGGCTCACGATTGACTCAGCTTTCCATCCTTCTGAGGTCGGTAAAATGAGGACCCAGATCGTTTGAGGGCAGTATGCTGACTCTGTAAACCGCTGAGAGAGGGCTGTAAATGGGAAGTGGTATATAAGTCTAAGCGCTACTGCTATTGCTGCTCTGTTTCAGTAGTCTAGTTGTGACGAAGTTAATTAGGGAAGACACTGATATCTCTAGGAAGCCAACATAACAGTCACAAAACAGAGCAGCGGGGTTGATGTCCACTTCCAAGATACTTGAGCTCAATTTCCACAGTCCAGTCAGTTTGTCAGCATTCTGCAATCACAAAGAAATTTGGGATGTTTGCAGTGGTGGGATTCAACCAGTTCGCACCACTTCGGCAGGACCGGCAGCTAATTTTTTTGTTGCCCAGGCCCAGGATGGACTTCCGGAAGCAGCATCCACAAAGAGAACCGGTTGTTCACCTATTTGAATCCCACCACTGGATGTTTGGTATTTTCTTCTTTCCCCTCCGTTTTTACTTCTTCCCGTGAATCCTTTAGCAAATCCTGAAATGACCCTTTTAAGCCGGCCTTTCCATAGAATTGGCTCTGCCAATATTTTTGGGGCTTCAAATTACAAAACCAGGATAGTTCTCTGTCAAGGTTAGGAGAGTCAGTGGATAGCAGCTGTGTTACTGGACTTTACCTTGCTTTCTATTTACCTTTCATTTATTTGGTTGGTAAGATTTTTTTTTTAAAGCACATCTGAGAAGGTAACATTTTTGCCCTCCTAATTCCTATAAATTAATCTTCATCAAGTTGAGATTGCAGTAGAGCTCTCACGTTATTTGAATAGTCTTTAAGGCAGGGGTGTCAAACTCAATTTCATTGAGGGCCACATCAGCATTGCGGTTGCCCTCGGGGGGGGGCTGGGGGTGTGTGGCCAAGGTGGGTGCAGCCTACTGGGTGGGCGTGGATGGAGTGGGTGTGGCCTACTGGGTGGGCATGGCCAGCTTTACATCGTTCGCGTCAAGGGTGCCTGTGGGGGCCTGGGCAGGAGTGGGACAGATCTGAGGGTCTCTGGCAGAAGGGGGTGAGACCGGGGCAAGCGCCAAGGCATGGTCCATTTCTTCATTCCTCACAAAGGGTGACACCTCCCCAGCATGCACCCAGGGGGCGGAGCCGACGCAGCAGGGGCTGGTTCCTCACTGTTTCCAGACGGCCTTGTGGAGCTAAGACTGAATGCGTTTCAGCATAGATGGCCACCACAAAATTGTACATTGGCTCCCGGCCAACCTGGGCCAGGGCCAAGCCAGCGGGGGCCGTTCCTTCACTGTTTCCAGGATGGCTTCGCGGGCCACAGGAAACCACTTCGCGGGCCGCATCCGGCCCCCGGGCCTTGTGTGTGACATGTCTGGAAGTTCTTTGAAGAGTAACGTCTGTCGGAACCATGACCGTAGTCTAGTTTGCATCGTGAAAATGGGCCGGCTATTTTCTTCCGGCACCCGTGCGGATACATATTTGATCTCTCTTGTTTTCTTCTTCCTCAGGGAAGTGGGAATGCCCGTGGCACCAGTGTGCCATCTGTGGCAACCCGGCGACTGCGTTTTGCGAGTTCTGCCCTCACTCTTACTGCAAGGATCACGAAAAGGGAGCCCTGGTCTCCTCGGCCTTGGACGGACGCCTCTGCTGCTCTGAACACAACCCCAAAGCTCCCGTGGCCCCCGAGTATTGGGGCAAGATCAAGCGTCGATTGGAACAGCAAAATCCGGAGGAAGCATCGAAGGAGTGAAGAGGCCCTTTCACACCCACACACACACCCACAAAAAAAACAAACCGCAACCCCAAATGTGTTCCCGTTCAGGGTGGCAAGTCCTTGTGAATCTAGATACAGTGCCAGGGGAAGCCTCCTCAATCTTTAGAGCTGCCTCTAATGGGACTCAATTGGGATCGCTGGATCTTGGAAGGCAGTTCAGGAGCCTGTGCATCTGATTAGATCCATTTGCCCTTTGTCTGCGTCTTTCGGGCTCTGGAAGATCAGAAAGAAGCATCTTGGCAACGCAATTTTGTTAGGAGAGGGTTAGGGGTTTGCAGAGAAGGACCTGGGATTTAAGTCTGTTCTCTGCGTGTAGAAAAAAAGGAAAAGAAAACATAGCGAAAATATTTATTTATTTAATTTCTAACGGACTTTTTGGAGGATTTCTGGTTCTAATACAATCGGTGGGTCTGAAAAAGAGTAGCAAGCACCAGCCTGGTTATCTTATCTCTGTATGTGTCTTTTTTATTATTATTATTATTATTATTATTATTATTAATTATTATTTTCCTGTCTGGTTTTACAATTACGGGGGGGGGGGGAGAAAAAAATCCGATAAATCTTATTGGGCAGTTCCGAGTGAGATACTTCCAGTAACTTCATGACGGCAAGAGTTTTTTGTTTTGTTTTGTTTTGTTTTGTTTGAGATGGTGCAATCCCTCTTTCCTTTTTTTTTTTTTTTTTGGACTGAATCAACGATAATCATGATACCTTCTCCCACCCAAAAAAA